ATTTTCAGACAAGCAAAGGCTGAGGGAATTTGTTATCAGTAGAGTTACATTACTAGAGGGAACAGTAAATATAGAAAGACAATTACCAGCAACTACAGAAACACACTTAAGTACACAACCAGTGACACTATAAAGCAACCACATAAATAAATTTTCAGAATAACCAGCTAACATCATGACATAATCAAATCCACATGTATCAATATTAACCTTGAATGTACATGGGATAAATGCCCCAATTAAAACCTAGAGTGGCAAGCTAGAAAAAGAACCAAGATCCATTCGTATGCTGTCTTCAAGAGACCAAACTCACATACAATGACCCACATAGGCTCAAAGTAAGGGGATGGAGAAAAATCTACCAAGCAAACAAACAAACAAACAAAAAACAAACAAACAGAAAAAAGCAGGGGTTGCCATCTTAATTTCAGTCAAAAGAGACTTTAAACCAACAAACATCAAAAAAAGACTAAAAACAGCCTTACATAATGGTAAAGGGATCAAATCAACAAGAAGAGCTATCATAAATATATGTGCACCCAACACAGGAAAACTCAGATTTATAAATCAAGTTCTTAGAGACCTTCAAAAAGACTTAGACTCCCACATAATAATAGTGAGAGACTGAAATATCACATGGACAGTATTAGACACATCATAGAGACAGAAAATTAACAATGCTACTCACTACCAAAACTTAGCACTGGATCAAATTTACCTGCTAATAATCCATAACTGTCCACCTAAAAACAACAGAATATATGTTCTTCTTATTGCCACATGGCACATAATCTAAAATCCATCACATGATAGGATATAAAATTCTCCTCAGCAAATACAAAAGGACTGAAATCATAACAACCAATTCCTCAAGCCAGAGTGCAATGAAATTAGAAATCAAGACTAAGAAATTCACTCAAAAACACACAATTAATTAGAAATTCAGTAACATGTTTCTGAATGTCTTTTGGGTAAGTAATAAAATTAAGGAAAAAATCAAGAAGTTATTAAGCTACAAAACACCAGAAGCTCTGGGCCACAGCTAAAACAGTGGTAAGAGGGAAATTTATAGCACTATAACACAGTGAAACCCCATCTCTGCTAAAAATATTGCAAGCTACACATCTTATAAAGGTCTAAGATCCAACATCTATAAGGAATTCCAACAAATTTACAAGAAAAATAAACAACCCCTTTGAAAAGTGGACAAAAGACAGGAACAGACACTTTCAAAAGGAGACATACATGTGGCCAAGAAGCATGTGAAAAAAAGTTCAATGTCACAGATCACTGGAGAAATGCAAATCAAAACCACGGTGAGATAGAGTCTCACACCGGTCAGATGGCTATTATTAAAAAGTCAAAAAAAAAATAAGAGGTACTAGAGAGGTTGTAGAGAAAATAAATGCTTATACACTGTTGGTGGAAGTGTAGATTTATTCAAAAATTGTGGAATACAGTGTGGCAATTACTCAAAGAACTAAAATTAAAGAACTACCATTAAAACCAGCAATCCCATTACTTGGTATATACCCAAAGGAATATAAACCACTCTATCATAAAGATACATGAATGTGTTATGTTCATTGCAGCACTATTCATAATAGCAAAGACATAGAATCAAACTAAGTGCCCATCAATGATAGACCAGATAAAGAAAAAGTGGTACATATGCACCGTGAAATACTATGCAGCCATAAGAAGATATGAGACTGTGTCCTTTACAGGTACATGGATCGAGCTGGAGGCCATTACCCTTAGCAAACTAAGCAGAAACAAAAAACCAAATATGACATGTTTTCACTTATAACAGCAAGTTAAATGATGAGAACACATGGACACATAGAGGGGAACTGCAGACAATGGGGCCTACCACAGGGTGGTGGTTATGGGGAAGGAAAGGATCAGATAAAATAACTAATGGGTACTAGAATTAATACCTAGGTGATGAAATCGCTGTATGATAAACGCCTGTGACACAAGTTTAACTATGTAACAAACCTGCACATGTACCCCTGAACTTAAAATAAAAGTTTAAAACAAAGTAGCAGGTGCTGAAGAGGATGTAAAGAAAAAAGTCTTATATGCTCTTGGTGGGAATGTAAATTAGTACAGCCACCACAGAAAACAGTAAGAAGATTTCTCCAAAAAAACTAAAAATGTAACTATCATTCAATCCAGCAATCCAACTGCTGTGTATCTATCCAAAGGAAAAAGAAATCAGATTATGAAAAGGATGCCTAAACTTCCATGGTTATTGAAGCACTATTCACAATAGCAAAGATGTGTAACCTAAGCATCTATTAACAAATAAATGGATAAAGAAAATATTGTATGTACACACAATGAAATACTATTCCATTGTAATAAAAAGAATGAAATCCTGTCATTGGAAGCAACATGGATTCAATTGGAGGTCATTATGATAAGTAAAATAAATCAAGCAGAGAAAGACAAATATTGCATGTTTTCACTTATATGTGGGAGCTACAAAAGCTGATCGATAAAGGTAAAGAGTAGAATGATAGATACCAGAAGCAGCAAAGGGTGTTCAGGGGGTGGAGAATGAAAAAACCCTGGTTAATGAGTACAAACATAGACATACATAAAAGGAGTAAGTTTTGTTTGTCAAAGATCAGATGGTTATAGATGTGTTATTTCTGAGACCTCCATTCTGTTTCATTGGTCTATATATCTGCTTTGGTACCAGTACCATGCTGTTTTGGTTACTGTAACCTTGTAGTATAGTTTGAAGTCAGGTAGCATGATGCCCCTAGCTTTGTTCTTTTTGCTTAGGATTGTCTTGGCTATGCAGGCTCTTTTTTCGTTCCATATGAAATTTAAAGTAGTATTTTCCAATTGATGGGGATAGCATTTAATCTCTAAATTACTTTGAGCAGTATGACCATTTTCATGATATTGATTCTTCTTATCCATGAGCATGGAATGTTTTACCATTTGTTTGTGTCTTCTCTTATTTCCTTGAGCAGTGGTTTGTAGTTCTCCTTGAAGAGGTCCTTCACATCCCTTGTAAGTTGTATTTCTAGGTATTTTATTCTTTTTGTTGCAATTGTGAATGGGAGTTCACTCATGATTTGGCACTCTGTTTGTCTGTTATTGGTGTACAGGAATGCTTGTGATTTTTGCACATTGATTTTGTAGGCAATACCATTCAGGACATAGGCATGGGCAAAGATTTCATGACTAAAACACCAAAAGCAAATGCAACAAGAGTCAAAATTGACAAATGGGATCTAATTAAACTAAAGAGCTTCTGCACAACAAAAGAAACTATCATCAGAGTGAACAGGCAACTTACAGAATGGGAGAAAATTTTTTCAATCTACCCATCTGACAAAAGGCTCATATCCAGAATCTACAAAGACCTTAAACAAATTTGCAAGAAATAAACAACCCCATCAAAAAGTGGGCAAAGGATATGAATAGACACTTCTCAAAAGAAGACATTTATGCAGCCAACAAACATACGAAAAAAAGCTCATCATCACTAGTCATTAGAGAAATGTAAATCAAAACCACAGTGAGATACCATCTCAGGCCAGTTAGAATGGCGATCATTAAAAAGTCAGGAAAACAACAGATGCTGGAGAGGATGTGGGGAAACAGGAATGCTTTTACACTGTTGGTGGGAGGAAGTATAAATTAGTTCAACCATTGTGGAAGACAGTGTGGTGATTCCTCAAGGATCTAGAAATAGAAATACCATTTGATCCAGCAATACCATTACTGAGTATATACCCAAAGAATTATAAATCACTCTACTATAAAGACACATGCACATATATGTTTATTGTGGCACTATTCACAATAGCAAAGACTTGGAACCAATCCAAATGCCCATCAATGATAGACTGGATAAAGAAAACGTGGCACCTATACACTGTGGAATACTATGCAGCCATAAAAAAAGATGAGTTCGTGTCTTTTGCAGGGAGATGGATGAAGGTGGAAACCACCATTTTCAGCCAACTAACACAAGAACAGAAAACCAAACACCACATGTTCTCACTCATAAGTGGGAGCCGAACAATGAGAACCCGCAGACACAGGGAGGGGAACATCACACACCAGGGCCTGTCGGGGAGTGAGGGGCTACAGGAGGCATAGCATTAAAAGAAATACCTAATGTAGATAATGGGTTGACGGGTTCAGCAAATGACCATGGCACATGTATACCTATGTAACAAACCTACACATTCTGCACATGTACCCCAGAACTTAAAGTGTAATAAAACACTTTTTACAAGGAGTTTTAAATGTTTCCAACAAAGAGAGAAATGATAAATGCTCAAGGTGATGAATGTCCTAAATTTCCTAATATCCTGACTTTATCACTACACATTTGATCCATGTAACAAAATATCACATGAACCCCAAAATGTGTATAGGTATTAAGAATCAATAAAAAATAGCAAAGAGAATCTTTTTATTTTCCATATTAGTTACAACAAAGCCACTCTATTGCTGGAACAAATATGGTAGTGGTTGTCATGGGGAGTGGTGGTGATGATGATGATGATGATCATAATGGTGGAAAAAATGATGATATGTTGCTGCGAATAAACCTCTATCAAATGGCAGCCAATTATGTATTAGGCATTGTGCCAATAAAATTTCAGATAGTAATTCAATTTTATGCCTTAGACAAGTTCGTTAAGTAAATGTTATTTTGCTCACTTTGCAGTAAAGAGATTGACATTCAGAGAAGTTGAATAATATGTTCCTCAAATCAATCAAACACTAATTAAGGAAAATAAAACAGGTTTAACATCGTACAGAAATAATCTTTGATATGTCCCAAATTGTGAGATCCTGCCTGTGGATGAAAGAAAGGTGGAAATATGCCCAAATGATTATAAAATATTGCAATAAAGCAGATTTGAAAAGAAATAAAAGATCCATTCACAAATATTATGCATAGATACTTTATTCAGAGAATGAAAGGAAAGTGACAACTGCACAGGTGGTAGAAGCTCATGCCCAGGGGACAGACAGGCACAGAAAACATCAACAGAATTCTCTGATGGTTCCCAAGGAGAGAGCTGTTGCTCTTTCTTCTGAAGTTCTGGGAGCTGGCACAGCCCAGGACTTCCTTTGCTCAGTCTCCACCTGGACAGTGGCAGTATGGCAGCCTCAAAAAGGAAAACTTTTGCTATCAGGGATCATCACAGGCAGATAAAAGCTCCCTGTGTGTCCCTGGATGGCTTCGATGAGAAGATGCAGGTGAAGCTGTGGAATGAGGTGAGCCAAATATCCTTATCCTTTCATGGTCCTGATGAATCCTGAAGCTGTTACTTGCTCTTGGGTGGACACTTTGGCTGGCAGGGTGGGGAAGGTATCACAGGAGGATATTTCTGCTGGCACTGCTGAGGTGGGCAGGGCTCTGGACACTTTGGTGGTGGGCAGGGCTCAGGGCACTTCGGGGGTGGACATGGCTCTGGACACTTTGGTGTGGGGCACACAGGAGGTGGCTGGCAGGGCTGCTTGCACTGCTGCTGTTGATAAGACATCCTGCTGGAGTCTCAGAATCTGAAAGAAATGATACGACAGTGTTCACGGGAATGGACTCCTCCAGAGAGAGAAGCCAAAGCTTGTGTAATACCATGGCATATTATTTCTCCTGTCTCCAAGAAATTATTTAAACTCTTAATTCCCTTTTCAAGACTCCCTGGTTTCTCACTTCAACTTCAGCGAATTACTTCATTGTCCCTGGGAATTCCTGTGTTTTCTCATATAATTTTTCCAAAGAAAATACCTCTGTAGTAAACAACCAAGCATGTTATTTCTATGAAAATAACATCTTCAAGAAAGGCAGTCACAAGTTCAGATACCCAGGGCTACCTCACAAGCTATTCCTATCATCGTTATCTGTTGTAAAATCCCAGTGGGTTGACATGGGCACAGAGAAAAGGGCTGTTTGGGAAGAACTGCATGCTCTCACACCTGCTACGACATAAACCTTTGAAAAGTACACCAGAAAAGCAAAGAAAAAAGAAAAATACTTTGTTATTTTATTCTTGTTCAAATCAAAGCTTTCCCCTTAACTAACTTCTCTGTCCATTTGAACCCCTAGCTGTGTACCAAAAGAAAGCTAAAATAGCATATCATTGTGCTCTAATTCTACATTTCCATCCACTAAATAGCATCAAATCAACATTCATAGGATTGAATCAACCAAACTTGCTGTACTCAGATTAAATTCAACATTTTAGGGCACAAAGAACAGACGAACTCAAGGAAGCCAACTCACCAGGTTCTCCAAGGCAGATTGGTGCTCAGGTACCAGGAGTTCAGGAGCAGTGCAGCAGAAAACCTCTTTATAGGGCCTGCTGCACCACCCAACAGGAAATGGAACTGCCAAAAACTACACTGATCCAGTATTGTCTTAAGTCAAATGCAAATTTATCCATAACTGGCCTGACAGTGACTATCAAACTAGGAAATATCCTGTTCTGGGATCTCTCCACTGGGTTAAGTGCTCCTGACTCACAGAAGCCCTGCCTTAGATCTCAGTTTCAGTGACCTATGGCAAAGAGGGAATTGGGGAATTCTCTAAATAGTGGTCAAGGGCTCTCCTTTTTGACTGGGGGCAATGATCCTTTCCTGTCTTACACCTTCCCTAAATCATAACACTTCCTGCCCTGATCCACTTTAGCTGAATGCCATATTGTTGTACATGAACCCATCTCCACCTTTGCTTTCCTTATACAATTTGCCAGTGTGCTAGAAGGAAGGGGAGACCTAACAAAGGCCTGAATTCTGGCCCCAGATTTTTTTTTTTTTTTGCTAAGTTGTGTGACCACAGCCAGGTTACCTCTCCTCCCTGGGATTATAAGGGGAGAATCACACTTACCTCTGGAGTTGGAAGCTGACCGCTTTGTGCCATCTGCTGACCCTGTTCAAGCCAGAAACTTTCTCCTCCACTTCTATCTTTCTCTCTCATAGGACCCTGGATTTTATGATTTTCCTTTCCTGTTTGAAGCTATCTCCTCCATCCAATTTGTACTGGCAATTGTCACCCGGGACAGATTCCAGAGTGGGAGCCAGTCTCCCCAGCACATTTGCTACTTGCTGCCATCAAGGATGTGTACTATTGTCTTTTTATTTATAAAAATGTATTCTTAGCCACCACATTAAGGAAACGGAGAGACGTGAAACAAAATTACAAGCATTCATGGTATTGAACCATGCCTATATGATTCCCTGTAACCATCCTACAGAGAACAAACTGCACAGACTCACATTATCATATGTAAATAATTAGAAGTAGGTTTGCAGAGTGGAGATGGTCAGAGCACTTAAATTCTGAAATCTGGGGGAAAATAGAAACTAAGTATAATCTAAAATGTATTCTTCCTCTCTATTTCCAAACAGGTTTTAGGAGTTTCTCGGTGTTTTTTAATTTGTTTTCATGTTCTTTCTTTGTCTTTTCCATAAGCCCCCTAGTCCCATGACCTGCTAGATTATCAAGTCACACCCCAATGTACACCTCTCATCTATCCATTTTGTTACATATTGTTCACTCAGCATATATATTGTCAACACATATAGTGACTCCTCTTTCATATCTTTTGTAAACTCTTCCTGCACTCAGTGAGGCTTACTAAACACGGTATGTTGAATATTTAAGGTAATGTTGCTAGAGCTTCCTTCGACCAATAACAGGAAGCTTTGCAAGAATGTGGTTTATAATTGGAGAAGAAGAAAGGAAAATGAGGAAGAGGAAAGACTCAAAATCATTGGAGCAGTCACCAGCTGTGCTCCAGGAAGGGCAGGAGTGCTGAATCAACCAAGCATCACATCCCTCAGTTAAGCAGGTTAGGTTCCCAGAACTGCCATTGCTCCTGTCAGTAAGGAAGGGCTTTGGGGCAAGATCACTACTGGCCAGGACAGTACAGAAATAAAAACATCACGTCAGCGTCAGCACCTTAAAGTGAGGTGTTTACAAATGACGTTCTCACCAAATGATCCCTACAAACTATTACACATGCCAAGCACATCAGAGGACAAAGTAAACGGCCTTTATTCAATAGGTCACCTACTACTCCCCAACAGCCTCACATCACATCTAAAACACAAATCCTTAGAGAAATGTCTGATTTCTAACATGCAAAATTGGAGAATTTGCTGCCAAATGAGATCACTGTGTGAGATAACACAGTTTGTTTCACTCCCTGAGACTCCCCTTCTGAGAACACCCCACTCAAAAAGGCTGCTTATCACAGCAGTGCAGGCACCAGAGTGGCAGCAGCCCTAGTGCCTCCAGCATCTCAGATGAGGTCACTTTACAAGTTGAGATGGTGAACTTGAAACAGAGTTCCTCACAGACCAGCTACATGAGGAATGGCCACAACATGAAGAGGGACAGCTAGCGGTCACAGCTTCCCCTAGTTAGAACATCCAGGCCCTGAGACATCCAGGCCCTGCAGAATTCTTAAGATCATTAGGAAGGATGTTTTAGAAGACTATTTAATATCATTTAAAACATTCAAATTATAGTAGAAACATATATAAAGCATGAAAACATTTTAACATTTATTTATGAAAAGATAAGAAATACCTAAAACATTTTATTAAATGTGATTCTGTTTGGTTGCTGTAATTACAGATGATTTTTATTTTCTTATTTTCCTTTTCAAAATATTCTCCAAATGTTACCTATTATTTTGTAAAGACTCTTAAAATTCTTCTTTGAAAAGCTGACAAGAAACAAGTCTGTCCATAGCTCAATTAGTGAGATAATGATCTTCTTCCTTTTAAGCATCTCTGGTCAAACACTAAAGGTGGGGCCGGATGTGAGTAGGAGTTGTTTTATTATTATACCCCAATATTTAATTACCTCCCTATTATAATCTTTCTTGAAGAACAATCCTAATAATAATCACCCTTTCTCCTACCAGTGACATAAACACAGGGAAGCCACAAGCACCCAATAGCCATACGTGTCTATGAAACAGTTCACCAAAATTGAGAGATCATACTAGGGCAAAAACATCAGGAATGAGTTTGTCTACTATCCAAGAGCCAGAAAGATAGAAATCGTAAAATTGGTCTGATTATGATGAAATTGGAAGAAACTGATGGTTACTAAGACAGGTGGTAAGGATAATAAAACATAGTGATAATAATAGTACATAGTGATAATAATAATACCTACCATTAAATTAAGTACATTAGGACTTAGTACTTTATGTGCTTAGACTTATGACTACAGATAGTACTCATAATAGTAATGTAATACATTGTTAATCAAGGAAATAGAGCCAGAACATCAAGTCTGAGATGTGTTTGATGGTGAGTAAATTATTTGCTTTATCTTTAAGATCTTTTATATCATATTTCTTTTAGGTCAGTGCCCGAAGATTTTAGGGGGAAGCAAATGAAAATACTTTATTTGAATAAGGTGTGGTGAAATAATAAGATGGGCTAACCTTGATACTTACTCTTTTGTGGTGAAAATGAGAGTTAATCAAAGAAGAAATGTAGAATAAAGTACAGAAACAAGATAATTTAATTGTTCCTAGTTATTTGGACTAAGATTGTCTTCTGACTACTGTTAAGTACAAAAATAAAAAACTAAATATGATAAATGCAATATGTTAACTGTGTTAGTTTACAGAAAATTGACATTTGTAAATATTTAGCATTCTGTATAAAAATATATAATGTAATCTCTAATCTAGTTTACCATTACTATGATTAGCTGTTCAGGACAATAAAAAATTCTCTCACTTAAATAACATGTTTCTTCTGGTGGCAGATTACCTAAATTTCACTTTAAGTCGTTATAAGGAGCTGAATCATTCATTAGCATTAACCTTCCCAAAGCAAAAAGGGCCTGTAAATTCTAGTTTTATTTTCTCAAATGTTAGATCAGACTAGTTAAAAGAATAATTTCAAGAGCTATCAGAAATACAAGATGATCTTACATGCTTTGTGTTAGGGAGATTAAAAACATAGGCTAAGAAATAGAATAAATCTGACACTTCTTCTCTTAAGAATCTTTTAAGACAGTGAATGTGCATGGATTTAAAGTTGCCTCCCTTCACACGCAAAAATAAATAAATAAATAAAGGAAAGCAAGTAAACCTGGACAAAACTGTGAAAAACTCTGGAGGGGAAAAGCAGTTTAAACTCTAACATAGAAGAGGGCTGACAGCATTGTACCATAAGTCAAAGAGAAGTTAAATAAAATATAAACAGAAAAATCAAAGCTGACTCATAATCTCACAGAGCTAAACATAATTTTACCATAGGATCCACCATCATGACTCCTAGAAATTAATGTAACAGATTTCAAAATATGCCCACAAAAAATAGCCTATATTCAAATGTTTATAGTAGTTTCATTCATAATTTCCAAGAATTACAATCCACCAAAATGTCCCTCAGTAGATGAATAGAAAAATAAATTGCAGTATATCACATCCACAGAGTGGAATACTGTACAGTGACAAAATGGAATGACCTATCAAGACTCACACAGACAAGGTTGAAATTTAAATGCAAATTGTTAAGTAACAGAAGTCAGTCTTAAAGGCTACATACTTTAAGGTTCCACATATGTGACTTCTGTAAAAGATAAATTTACACATCCAAAGAGTTCAACAAACCCTTAGTAAAATAAATTCAAAGAGAACTACACGAAGGCACATTATAATCAAACTATCAAAGACAGAATCTTTAAAGCAACAAGACATAAGTGAATCTTCATATATAAGTGATCCTTAATAAGACTGTTGACCAATTTATCATCAGATGCCTTGGAGTTCAGGAGGCAGTGGGATGATATAATAAGACTGCTGAAAGGAAAAATTGGTAACCTAGAATTTCGCTTCTGGCAAAATTGTACTTAAAAATGAGGGCAAAATTATAACATTCTCTGATAATCAAAACCTGAGGCTGTTCATTGCTCCTAGATTTCCCGTGTAAGAAATGATAGAGCTGGGCGCGGTGGCTCACGCCTGGAATCCCAGCACTTTGGGAGGCGGAGGTGGGCGGATCACAAGGTCAGGAGATCAAGACCATACTGGCTAACACGGTGAAACCCCGTCTCTACTAAAAAATGCAAAAAACTAGCCGGGCACGGTGGCAGGCACCTGTAGTCACAGCTACTCGGGAGGCTGAGGCAGGAGAATGGCGTAAACCCAGGAGGCGGAGCTTTCAGTGAGCTGAGATCCGGCCACTGCACTCCAGCCTGGGCGACAGAGCGAGACTCCGTCTCAAAAAAAAAAAAAAAAAAAAAAAAAAAAAAAAAAAATCAGTAGCATTTCTATGCACCAATAATGCATTGGCTAAGGAAGAAATGATAAAGGCAATCCCATTTACAACACCTACAAAAGAAGAAATAGAATACCTAGCAATAAATTCAACTAAGGAGATGAAAACTTTTTAGAAAGAAAACTACAAAACACTGATGAAAAAAATAAAGAACACTAAAATAAATTGAGAGATATTCCATACTCATGAATCAGAAGAATTACTATTGTCAAAATGACCATACTTCCCAAAGCAATCTACAGATTCAACGAATCCGTATCAAAATACCAGTGTCATTCTTCACTGAAATAGGAAAAAAAATTCTAAAATTCATTTGGAACCAAAAAACACCCTGAATAGCCAAAGCAATCCTGAGCAAAAAGAGCAAAGCTGGAGGCATCACACTACCTGACTTCAAAATATGTCACAAGGATACAGTCAACAAAATAACATGCTATTATATAAAAGCAGATACATAAACCAATGGAAAATAATAAAGAACCCAAATATAAACCCCCCTATTTACAACCAACTGAATTTGACAAAGATGCCAAGAATATACATTGGAGAAAGGACAAGTTTCTCAATAAATTGTTCAGAAAAAAATGGAATTCATATGCAGAAGAATGAAATATGGGCTTATATCTCTCATACAAAAGTCAACTCAATATGGATTAAAGACTTAAATGTAAGACCTGAAACTATAAAACTATTAGAAGAACACACAGGAAACGTACTCTATGATGTTAGAATATGCAAGGAGTTTTCGGGTAAGACTTTAAAAGCAGAGGTAATAATAGCAATTTCAAAAAAAAAATACGAAAAATAGAACTACTATTCAATTCAGCAATGTAACTACTGTGTGTCTATACAAAGAAAAATAAATCAGTGTAGCAAAGGGATGCCTGAATCCCATGGTCATTTCAGCACTATTCACAATAGCAAAGATGTGTAATCAACCTAAGTGTCCATCAACCTAAGTGTCCATCAACGAATGAATGGAAAAAGAAAATATAGTATATACCTACAATGAAATACTACTGGTTGTAAAAAAAGAATGAAATCATGTTGTTTGCAACAACATCGATGAAACTGGAGGTCATTATCTTAAGTGAAATAAATCAAGCACAGAAAGGCAAACATCACATGTTCTCACTCATATATGGAGGCTAGAAAAGTCAATATCATGAAGATAGATATCATGGAGAATAGAATGATAGATACCTGAGGCGGGGAAGGGTGTTTGTGGGGGATGGGGGATGTTGGTTAATGGGTACAAACAAAAAGATAGACGGAATAAGTTTTAATATTCGATAGCAGAGTAGGGTGACTACAGTTTACAACAATGTATTCTATATTTCACAAGAGCTAGGAGAGAAAAATTAAAATGTTCCTAGCAAAGAAAAAAGATAAATACCCCAGGTGATGGATAATCTAAATTTCCTGATATCCTGACTTGATCATTACACATTCTATCCGTGTAACGAGATATCATATGTACCCCGTAATTGTGTGCAAGTATTACAAATTCATAAAAAATAGCAATAGAGGCTCTTCTTATTTCCTGTATTAGTTATATCCAAGCTACTCTTTTGCTGGAGCAACTATGGTAGTGGTTGTAGTGGTGTAGTGATGCTGATGGTGATGATAATGATGATGATGAAGACAATGATGATATATTCCTGCTAATAAACCTCAATTAAATGACTGCTAATTATGTGTCAGGCATTGTGCCAACCAAATTTCAGATAGTAATTCAATTTTATGCCTTAGACTAGTTTGTTATGTAAACGTTATTTTGCTCACTTTGCAGTAAAGAGACTGACATTTGGAGAAGTTGAATCATATGTTCCTCGAATCAATCAAATGCTAATTAAGGAAAATAACATGGGTTTAAAATAATACAGAAATAATTTTTAGTATGACCCAAATTTCCTACAATAATCTTGAAAGCCTGGTCCTGGGGACCAAAGAAAGATAGAAGTAAATCCAAATGATCATATGATATTGTTAATAAAGTAGGTTTAAAAAGAAACAAAATATCCACTCACAAAAATATATACATAGCTACTTTATTCAGGGAGTGAAAGGAAAGTGACAAATGCACAGGTGGTAGAAGCTCATGCCCAGGAGACAGACAGACACAGAAAACATCAACAGAATTCTTCGATGGCACCCAAGGAGAAGCTCTGAAAGGCCGGTACAGCTGAGGACTTCCTTTCTAAGTCTCCACCTGGATAGTGGCAGTATGGCAGCATCATAAAGGGAAGCTTTTGCTGTCAGGGAACATCACGGGCAGATCACTGGCTAAGGGGAAAGAAGCTCCCGTGTATCCCTGGATGGCTTTGATGAGAAGATGCAGGTGAAGTTGTGGAATGAGGTGAGCTAATTATCCTCATCCATTCATGGTCCTGATGAACCCTGAAGCTGTTACTTGCTCTTGGGTGGATACTTTGGCTGGCAGGGTGGGGAAGGTGTCACAGGAGGACATTTCTGCTGGCACTGCTGAGGTGGGCAGGGTTCTGGACACTTTGGTGGTGGGCAGGGCTCAGGGCACTTCGGGGATGGACATGGCTCTGGGCACTTTGGCGTGGGGCACACAGGAGGTGGCTGGCAGGGCTGCTTACACTGCTGCTGTTGATAAGACATCCTGCTGGAGTCTCAGAATCTGAAAGAAATGATATGACAGTGTTCACAGGAAGGGACTGTCACAAAGAAAAGCCAACGTTTATATAATACTATGGGATATTATTTCTCCAATCTCCAAAAAATTATTTAAACTCCTCATTCCCTTTTCATGACTCTGGTTTATCCTTTCCGCTTTAGCAAATTGCTTTATCAACCCTGGGAAATCCTCTGTTTTCTCATGCAATTTTTCCAAAGAAAATATCTCTGTTATAAAGAATCAAACATGAAAATAACCACTTCAAGAAAGGCAGTCACAAGTTCAGACACCCTGGGCAATCTCAGAAGCTACTCCTATCATCATTATCTGTTGTAAAGACCCATTGGGCTGATGGCCACAGAGCAAAGGGCCGTTTGAGAAGAACTGCGGGCTCTGACACCTGTTAAAACACAAATGTTTGAAAAGGACACCAGAAAGATATCAAAAAAAGGAAAAACACTTTGCTTTTACTGCTTCTTCAAATCAAAGCCTTCCTGTTAACTTCTCTGTTCATATGAATACCAAACTGCTTACAAAAAAAAGCTAAAACAGTGTATCATTATGATTTAATCCTCAGGTTCCATCCACTAAGTAGCGTCAAAACTGTAATCAGAGGTTTGGATCAACCATGCTTTCTGTCTTCAGATTAAATTCAACATCTGAGGGCAAAAAGAAGAGAGGAACTCAAGTAAGCAGACTCACCGGGTTCTCCAAAGCAGATCGGTGCTCAAGTACCAGGAGTTTAGGAGTTATATGGCAGAGAACCTCTTTATAGGGCCTGCTGCCCCACCCAGGGGGAAGTAGAACTGCCTAAAATGGGCTGGATCAAGTAATGTCCCATCCAAAATGCAAATGTATCCATAACTGGCATGACAGGGAATCTCAAAAAAGGAAATATCCTGTTCTGAGATCTCCCGCTGAATTAAGTGCTCATGACTCATGGAGGCCCTGCCTTAGCTCTCAGCTTCAGTGACTTATGGCAGAGAGAAAATTGGCGGATTCTCTAACTGGTGGTCCAAGGCTGTCTTTCTTGATTGGGGGAAAGGATGCCTTTCTATCTTACCCTTTCCCTGAATTATAAAACATCCTGCTCTGATCCACTTTAGCTGATTTCTATATTGTTGTACATGAACTCAACTCTACCTCTACTCCCTTAGTATAATTTGCCAATTTGCTAGAAGTAATGAGAAACTGAACATAGTTCTATCATTGCCAAGTCCTGTGATCACAGGTAGATCACTTCTCCTCCCTGGGTTTGAGCTTTTCTATATTCACAGGAGAGCATACTTGGCTCTGGGTTAGAGACTGTCCACATTGTGCTATTTGTAGACCCTTCTTCAAGTCTGAAATTTTTTCCTCCATCTCTTTTTTTTTCCTATATAATCCCGGGTTTGACTTATATTCTTTGCACTTTTAGAGCTGTCTTTTCCACCCAATTCATAGAGGCATTTCTCTGCTAGGACAGATTCCACAGTGGAATCCAGTCCCCTCAGCACTTTTCCTCCTTGCTGCCCTCAAATATGTGTACTATACACCTTTTAAGGAATTAAAATCTGTGCTCTTAATCGCCACATTAAAGAAATGGAGAGAAGTGAACAAAAACCACAAGGAGTCACCTAAAACCTATTTATTGAACCATGCCTATGTGGTTTCCCACAGCAGAGAACAAGATGCATAGACTCACCATCACATGTAAATTCTGGAGATTGGGAATACACACAAGGCTCTTCCCACTGCAGCTTCTACTTTTATATTCCCCACTGCTCCATAAATCAGTTCCAGCACTGGGGAGGGTTAAGGCCTTCTCCCATGGCCTGGATTGCCAGGTTACCTAGTGGTGTATATCCTGGAGGCAGTCCTTCCCCGCTAACACTCCTAAAAACTCTGTTTTCTGCCTGGCTTGCAGTGTAGGTTGCAGCCTGCAGCTTTTTCAAAGGATGTGTGGTTTTTTTGTTTCGTTTGTTTGTTTGTTTGTTTCAGTTTTCCTGTTAAGTTCCTGCATTGCTTCTTGGGAAAAAGTTCACAGTGTGGATCTCGACACACTATTTTGTCTTTCCAAGTGAGATAGGCATGCTAACAATGTCTCCAATCCACCATATTGGAAAAATAAAAATAAACTTCACTCGGAATTTTAAGGCCCTTATCCATTGACTCCTAGCAGCCTGTATTGCTGATACAGTGTTTGATGCTAAGGATTCCTCAGAAGAGGAATTTCTTTATAAATCTGGAGGTGGACTTGAAGACCCAATTAAAGAGGATCTTTTAAATTCAGGGCACAAAGGAGCCAAAAGTCCTCCTGATTGGGTATGAGAGTTGATGAGGAAAGAAAGAGAAACAGAGTAGAATGATGAGGGAAAGCCCAATGTGTTTTTTTTTTTCTCTTAGCTGCACAAATTGTAGAAGATAGCTGAGTCCTGTATCTGCTTTGAGACAATATTTCTCCCACACGTTCTTTATTAGGGAATTACATAAGGATATTCTTCAATGAGCAGTGGCATAAGCTCAAGAAACAGAAAGGTGGAGAAATGGTGGGTTTAATCCAGGAAATTACTTTAAGAAGGGAAGAGAGAGGACAAGGGGTGTATAGAAGACCTGGAGAGCTGTCAGCACAGACTGGAAAAAAACAAACAGAAACCTCCAGAAATGACCATCTGAAAAGGAAGGAGAACAGACTCTAAATCATCCTTTAAATTTTCGAACAATCCAACAAGAAAATAAAGGCCATTGAAGCTTTAAAATATAGATGTGGAAGAAGCTAATAAATATAGCTCCTGCAGTAAATTCTTATAAAACTGCTTTGTCAAATACAACCATCCAAGAGATATAATCTACTAAACATCCCATAGGTGGAGAGCTATGGTAAGATAAATAGTAGTTAGCAATGTATCATTTTAAATAATGAAATAAGCATAATCATATGTAGGAACTGAAGTGATAAAACAGAGCATCAATATTTATAAACCCTAACAATGTGAAAATTTCTATATAACTAGCAAAAATGTTGAAGTGAAAATGGGAAGGTTGTTGGGAAGAAAATGGTTGGGAAGATACAAATTTACTCAACATTTATATTGGTAATTCTGTAATAATATTTGATATTGAAATGTGGAGATAAGAAAATAATGATTCCAAATGCTTTGCATTTTAAGATCTGCTTATTCACAATGTTGCAGAAATCTGAGCACTGGAGAAAATTTTTCCTGACATTTGACAATTCTTAATTATCATCTTGATTTCCTTTTCCTCTGTTAAATTAAATGAATGCATTAAAAATTCCAGTTACGGCACTTCTCTATTCTTTCTATCTCTTTTTCTACTTACTATGCATGGAAAAGTATCTATAATGATGGCTGTTCATGTTAATGATGGTTACTTTGGAAATAAACTGTGATTATCTTTGGACAACAAGAAAGAGCATAGACTCAGATAGAGAGGATCATAGCTTTTCTGTGCTGTTGAAGTTTTTTACCTTTCTAGCAGTATCATTGTAAATAAGACAGAAATGGTAGCTATTTTGGTAGATAACCACAAGAAGGTTCACAACTGGGCTGTGTGTACTCTAACACAACTTTACACAACACCTACAATTGCACCATTTACTCCAGACCTACTGAACGAAAAAGCAGTCTCTGGAATATTGCGTCTGTGTGGGTTCTCTAATGTACCTGCATCTGGAATACTTCACCTTTCAGCTCTCCTATCTCCCTGATGATCACCTGCATATGCTTCTACAATCTGCTCATTCATCTGGAGGTTTTCCTAGCTCCACCCGTATCTTCTCAAGTAGAATCAAATCACCCCAATTATGCTTTTCAAACATAATTTTAACATAGTATATATACCAGAATTGCAATTATTTTATTTCACATATGATTCTAAGGTTTTTGAGGGCAAGCAAAATAGCTTATCATTTATCCCTTGAGCTTAGTGCCTGGCAAATATATACTCAAAACTTATGAAGGCAAGAAGGAAGGAAAAATCAGGTAAATAGGGTGGGCATGTTAGAGGGAAGAAGGAAGAAATGAAAGAGAGTAAGATGAAAACAAAAGAAGAGCTAAAATAATCTGTCTCAAATAAAACAATTACAGACTTTCCCCTTTTTGTAAAAAAGAAGATGCTTGCATGTGTGTTTTAAGTATTAGTCTTAGTAACTTTCCCAAGTTTTTCTGCCTGAACTACATAAATACTAACAAAAGATAAAGAAATCCAGGATAAACATATGGTAAATACATATCAAAGAAAACACTTGACAAAACAAATCATTTCATTCAGTACCTTACTATTTCAATGGACTAGCTTGAACATTTTAATTGTATTTTTTAGTAGTAGGTATGAAATATGTATTATATAATAATAAAATGGTACACAAAATTTTACAGAGGAAGAAAATGCTGCCTCTCACCTCATAATATGACCATGCAATTTCCTACCCTACTTAAGCTTTTCTGAGAGAAGGAAGGAAGAATAAATACAAATGAGGTAGATTTCAGAGATGAGTTTCAGTTTATGTTGGGCTTTGTGGACCATCATAGAGACTGTGTCTCATATTCTGATTTAGAAGGGAATTATCTGACTCGAAAAGTGACATTATCTTTAAGAGGTTAATTCTGACTACTGTGTTGAGTATTTGTTATATGGAGCAAGGATGAAAACTGGGAGAGAGTAAGGAGGCTGTAGAAATAATGCAGACATTCAGGTGACTTCAAGCAGGGTCATAGCAATATCTGTAGCAACAGACAATTCAAAAATAAAATGTTAAAATCCACTTATAATAACCTTTGAAGTAAATACCAAAAAACTTTAATAAAAGATGTGCAAGACATTTCACTGAACACTGTGTACTTCTTGAAAGTAAATAAATGGAGAGATACTCCTTGTTCATGGATCAAAAAGCCAATACTGCTAAATTTTGTCAATACTGTCAGTTCTTCCCAAATTGAGCCATAGATTTAATATAATTTCAGTCAAAACCCCTCAGTGTTTTTTAAAGAAATTAACAAACTAATTATAAAACACCTGTGGAAATATATAGTACTTGGAGCAGCACAAATGAATATTTATTCTAGAACCAAACTAATCAGATGTGGTATTAGCATAAAAATAGACATAGAGATCAATAGAATAGAATAAAGTCCAAAAACAGACCCACATGGATATGTATCTATATCTATATAGTTAGTTGGCTTTCAATGAAGGTGTCAAAGTAATTTAATGGGCAAAAAAAAGAAACTTGTCAGCAAATGGTACTCAAGAAATTGGACATTGTTATGGGAAATAGTGAATATTGATTCTTACTTCATACATACAAAAATTAATTCAAAATGTATCACTAAGATAAAAATAAAACATTCTATAATTCTGGAGGAAAACAGGAGAAAATCTTAGTTACAGCACATTAGCCAAGTTACCATTAAAGCTAGGTATCCAAAATATATTAAGAAATGATAAAAATTAGTCAGAAAAAAACAACTCAATAGAAATAGGTAAAAGCCTTCAGCAGGCACTTCACAAGAATATATGTCAAAATGAATAAACATATTTTTCAAAGCTTCTAAAGGTCATTAATATTTAATAAAATGCATATTCAAAGCACAATAAAAGATAATTATGCCAATACCAGATAGGTAAAACTTAGAAGGGTGACAATGATTGATTAACTGAAAGAGGGAAAGGAAGCATAAAATCTACCACACAGCTCTAGGTATTTAAATTGGGACAGAATTTTAGAAAACAGTTTGGCATCACCTACCAAAGTTGAAGATGCACATACTTCTGGGTGTATACCCTAGAGAAATGTGTGATCATGTGCACCCACAGGCAGGAAGAAAACATCATGATGGCACTATTCATAACAATATCAAATAGGGACAACCCAATGTCAACCAAGAGTAGAATAAATAAGGAAACAAAAGTATTGTATATTTATACAATGATATGCTACAATGCAATCATGAATAAGCAAAAATTACACAATGATGGTTGAAAAGAGACAGGCAAAAAAATGACATACTGTATGGTTCCATTTATATGCAATTCAAAAACTGGAAAACATAACTGTATCTATTAATATAGACACTTCTATGTTAATGGTTAAAAAATAAAATAAAAAGCAAGAAAGTAATTATGTTAAATGTCAGCAGAGTGTTTACTTCCAGTGATGAAAGTGTAGAGTGTTATTGAATAAGGCAATGTGGGGTCTTTAGAAGGTTTGATAACGTCATTTTTCTTGAATTTGGCATTGGTTGCGTGAGTGCTCAGCTTGTAATTATTCACCCTGTACAGCTAAAGTTTATGAACTTTCTGAATGGGTTGATTATATTTCGCCTAAAATGAAGGATTTTTATTTTTGTTTTTCTTAAAGACAAAATGTGGCCTGGGGTTAGGAGGAACTGTCAACAATATTAAGCCAGAGCTTTATTCAACAGCCTACTGTTAAGACAATAACTTGGAGTTATTCTGTATTGCCTTGTGTAAACTCTACCCTCTAACATTCTGGTTGGGACTGGGAGCACAGCAAGAACAAAATTTCCTAAGCATTCTGCTAGCTGCAATTTGATGAAACTAATCAAATACATTTCCCTTTAAGATGTGAAAACAGGTCTAACATTTAAGTCTCTAATCCATCTTGAATTAATTTTCGTATAAGGAGTAAGGAAAGGATCCAGTTATAGCTTTCTACTTATGACTAGCCAATTTTCCCAGCACCAATTATTAAATAGGGAATCCTTTTAGCATTTCTTGTTTTTGTCCAGTTTGTCAAAGATCAGATGGCTGTAGATGTGTGGTATTATTTCTGAGGGCTCTGTTCTGTTCCATTGGTCTATATCTCTGTTTTGGTACCAGTACCATGCTGTTTTGGTTACTGTAGCCTTGTAGTATAGTTTGAAGTCAGGTAGTGTGATGCCTCCAGCTTTGTTCTTTTAGTTTAGGATTGTCTTGGCAATGTGGGCTCTTTTTTGGTTCCATATGAACTTTAAAGCAGTTTTTTCCAATTCTGTGAAGAAAGTCATTGTAGCTTAATGGGGATGGCATTGAATCTATAAATTACCTTGGGCAGTATGGCCATTTTCACAATATTCATTCTTCCTATCCATGAACATGGTATGTTCTTTCATTTGTTTTTGTCTTCTTTTATTTCACTGAGCAGTGGTTTGTAGTTCTCCTTGAAGAGGTCCTTTACATCCCCTGTAAGTTGGATTCCTAGGTATTTTATTCTCTTTGAAGCTATTGGGAATGGGACTTCATTCACGATTTGGCTGTCTGTTTGTCTGTTACTGGTGTATAAGAATGCTTGTGATGTTTGCACATTAATTTTGTATCCTGAGACTTTGCTGAAGTTGCTTATCAGCTTAAGGAGATTTTGGGCTGAGACAATGGGGTTTTCTAAATATACAATCATGTCATCTGCAAACAGGGACAATTCGACTTCTTCTTTTCCTAACTGAATCCCCTTGATTTCTTTCTCTTGCCTGATTGCCCTAGCCAGAACTTCCAACACTATCTTGAATAGGAGTGGTGAGAGAGGGCATCCCTGTCTTTTACCAGTTTTCAAAGGGAATGCTTCCAGTTTTTGCCCATTCAGTATGATATTGGCTGTGGGTTTGTCATAAATAGCTCTTATTATTTTGAGATACGTTCCGTTGATACCGAATTTATTGAGAGTTTTTAGCATGAAGGGCTGTTGAATTTTGTCAAAGGCCTTTTCTGCATCTGTTGAGATAATCATGTGGTTTTTGTCTTTGGTTCTGTTTATATGCTGCATTACATTCATTGATTTGTGAATGTTGAACCAGCCTTGCATCCCAGGGATGAAGCCCACTTGATCATGGTGGGCAAGTTTTTTGATGTGCTGCTGGATTCAGTTTGCC